GGCGAACAGAAAAATGCATCAGTCGTCGATTATGTACATTAAAAAATGCATTGCAATTGTTGTTGTTTTCGTTTTAAATTGTGTTTCTCTTTAATTTTTATACAAAAACAAAATACAAGCATGTTTATTATATTGTGCCTCCTTCATACTGCAGTTGTTCAAACACTTACAAAATTCACTTAGAGAAGAGACTCTTATTAAAAGTAAAATATTATTATTAAAAAAATTATTTTTATAGAAATGCTGACTTAATTGAATAACGTTATTAAGTTTAAATATTGGCTTTTATTGAAAGTTTTCACTGTACATAATTAGAAATGGGAGTAGTCCAAAAAGATGTAATACTGGATCAGAATCGTCCATTATAAAGTACTAGTTAAGCACAGTCTGCCTTGCGCGACCTTTCCTCTTTGAAAAATCACAAAATCAAAGGATAATAATAATACTACATAATCTACATACATACATACATATGTATATTAAAAGGTAAGGAGTCTTATCACATCAACTAATGAAACTGTAAAGTTAATTACCACGGTCATAAAAACGTTTCCGTAAATTAAAAGATTTTTTCTTTTTTTTTTTGTTGTTATTTTAACATACATTTTACAAACATGTACTTATTTTTTATTATACGTGCCAGTATCTATTCAACCATAAATGAAATGTTCTCACTGAACATCTTCGACTTCTTCAGATATAGAGTACACTCAAATAAAAAAGCTTAAAGCTTTAAAAAGAACATTAACAAAGTTATTATGGAAATTTTTCAAAAATTAAATTGTTTAAAAAGAAATAAGTTATATTTATATTTCTCAAAATAGCATGCTGATTTCCGAGTCGGAAATATATTCAGGATAAACTATCAGATGAATGGACATCTTATAAACACACAGATTTCGCTTTTTATCGAAATAGGTGTCAAAATTGTCGTAATTTTTAGCTAATACAGAAAAATATTTAAAAAATAGTTCGGTATTTGGTTTGGTTCATTTAAAATTTTTCTGCCCCTAAAACTAAAAGTCGTTTTGCGGAATAGAAATACACTAACAACCATTTTAATTATTTTTTCCGTGATAAGCTCAATTACGGAATTTTTGAGACCCTATTCGAAAAGATTGCAGAATTTTTTGAAATTAATGCTTGGTTCATTCTATGATTCCGACTCTCAAAACTTTTGTCCTAGGGTGAATTCAATCTTTCAATCTTTTCAAAATATTTGGTTAACTGTTTCAAAAGATAAATTTGTCCTTTTACAAGAAAATGTATTCAAAAGGCGTTTTCGCCATGGTTTTCACCATATATTGATGTCAAGACAACAAATTTGATAAATGGTATCTTAGAATGAACTAAATTATAATTTTATATATATAATAGTATATACATATTTATATATATATATTTATATATATATATATATATATATATATATATATATATATATATATATATATATATATATATATATATATATATATATGTACATACGTATGTATATACATATGCATATGATGCAACAGAAATCTGTACAAAGGGGTTTTATGAATAAAACCCTAAATATTTCAAATATTAAAGAATAATAATAATACTATTTTTTGAGTGTACATATCCAAAACTCATTGGACGGACAATGTTAATTGTCAATAACGGTATCAGTCGGTTATTGTTAATGTACTGACTCATGGTATATTTAAACATGTGCTGCCACTCGTACCATTTCCAATGCTCATAAACATTTTCTATTATAAACTCATCAAAACTACATCGATGATGACGGTGATGATAATAATGATGTTAAATTTGTCGCTATTGTATACTTGTTTTTGTTCTTTTTATTATTGGTGATGATGTTCTTGCAAGCAGCAGTTCTTTTAAATTACTGTATCAGAATAGAAAATAATGAAATAAATGTGGCAGGAGAGGAAGAAGTACAATAATGAAATGAAGCAGAAGCAAAAGTTGATGTAGAAGTAGAAGAACTTCATCATATGACAGCTTACATTAATTTTATGCATCAGAATCATATCAGTTGTCGTTTACTGCCTCTTTTGGCGAGACAAACATTAAACTATTTAAGCGTATTATTCCAATCCAGCTCCACTCTTCTACAGCTGACTAATGCAATTGGCAATTATCACATGTTCTTAATGAATCCATAAAAACAACATATTGAAATACGTACTTACATATGTATGTATATATACGAATCGTCACCTGAAACGCAAACGGCCCTAACTAACCAAAAATAAAATTCAAAATCGATTTTATTGTTGATTCTAATGTATTGCATCCTCTAGACTCTTCCGACAAAAAAAGCGATTTTATTGACAAAAAACAAAAGGCCCTATCTACAAAAACATTTAAATATTAAAGGTAAAAAGTCCAATTTATCCATTTTTATACCCACCATCAAAAAAGATGGGGGGTATAATGTTTTTGTCATTCCGTTTGTAACACATCGAAATATTAATCTAAGACCCATAAAAGTATATATATTCTGGATCCTTATTAAATTCTAAGACGATCTAGCAATGTCCGTCCCTCTATATGTCTGTTGAAAACACGATAATGTCCAAATGGAAGTAGCTAGCTGGCTGCAATTTTGTATAGACATTTTATATTGATGCAGTTTGTTTGGTATTGAAAATGGGCAATATCGGTCCCCTTCAGAAAATGACTTTAACGCTCATAACTGGCTAAAAGAAGCAGCTATAGCGATGAAATTCGACATAAACATATTCTTTAGGATCCTTAATATCTTTGTAAAATTTTATAAGGATCGGTTCATAATTGACCCACCTCCCCATATAAGGTCCCCTTCAGAAAATGAATTTAACACTCATAACTGCCCAAAAGAAGCGATGAAATTCGACACGAACATATTTTATAGAAACCTTAATATCATTGTAAAATTTTAGAAGGATCGGTCCATAATTGACCCTATATAAGGTCCCCTACAGAAAATGACTTTAACGCTCATAACTGTCTAAAAGAAGCATCTATAGCTGGAATTCGACATGAAAATATTTTATAGGCACTTTAATGATCGGTTCATAATTGACCCTACCCCCATATAAAGTCCCCTTCAGAAAGTGGCTTTAACGCTCATTACTAGCCTAAACTAAAATCGTTCTAGAAAATTTGACGAGGATCGGTCCATAATTGACCAAACCTGGTAAAATTATACATAGATGTAATAAGTGAGAAAATTGTTTTGATAATAACAAAAGCATCAATTCTTAAATATCAAAGTTTATTTATAAGGAAGCATTCCTTTTCGGCAATGATTTGATGGTGGGTATACAAGATTCGGCACAGCCGAATATAGCACTCTTACTTGTTATATACGCCATTGTCAACATAACAACTGATAGGTTTCACTATTAAACAATTTGTTTATTTACTACTACCTGTAAAATTTTAAAAATGTTAAATAGGGCCGTGTGCGTTTTAGGTGACGATATACATATATGTGTATGTGTATGATCGTCCGTCGATTTCATTATACCATTACCATCGTCATTGTATATTAGAAAATTGTGTGTGTATGTTTACGAGAAGAAGAGTAAATTTATTTTGTTCAGACATTGAGAAAAAGATGCAGGCTTCCGTTTAACGGTGCTTCAGTATTAATAACTTTTCTTGAGATCGCAATCAGAGAACCAGTGAAGATCAGTATAGTTACTGTTATTTATATGATCATGCTGCTGCTGCTAATATTGCAACAACATGATGTGCTTTCGTTATACATGCAACTCGTATGGACGGTCACTTTAATGTGCTGTTAATTACAAAAATTCCAACATCCAGTTGCGTTGACTCAATGAAAGTCTTGAAGAATTAATTAGTTTCTTTCTTTCTTTAGTTCGTTACACTCAGAGATTTTCAGAGGCCTCAAAGAGTTTTTTCATCCAAATCTGTTTAAAAAAAAAATAAGTTTTTACTATGTACAACTTAATCCTTTGCAATTAATTCTTAATTAAAATGCTTTATTTTTATGAATAATAACTTACTTCGTTGAAACAAACAAACAACAAAAACAAAAAACATTAGATTATTTTAATGATCTGATTACAAATTACTGATCACTGGAAAGTTGTTGTTTAAAGAAAAACGAGAAAAAGAAAGCAAAATCAAATGACATAATATGACGACAAGTGCTATTTATGGATGTGGTATAAAAAATTAATACCAATAATTACACAACACCGCAATGTACTAATTTCTTTATTTCAGATACTTAAATTAGACTCGTTCAGTTTCGTATAGCGAACATAGCTTATTCATATAAAATCATAAACAAACATATTCATTTCTAAGTTACCGGTCTCAAAAAATTGTACAAACTTAAAAACTATGGAATTTTTAAAACGTATGATATATGAATCAAACAATTAATTTTATATTCAATGCTTATGCACGATTGCGCATTTTTTGAGATAAGGGCATTATATGGGAATTATGGCCAATTATTGATCGATCATTAATCAAATCTCAAATTTCATTTATCTTCAAAATTGCTCTATAAAGTTTGATTAAAACTTAAAAGACTTAGAACATGATTAGATTGGCTAAAAGCAACGTCAAGAAACCTCGAATACCCTGCCCTTTATAATGACATTGGTTAAAAAGTAAAAACATTGTGTTCGTTGCATTTATCTCATCTTAGATCATCACCCCTAAACCCAGCAATACTAAAAAAAGTACTTTATACGATTCATAACATATATACATACATATGTATTTCGCAAACGAATTTACGAATCTTACATATATTTCATCTTTGAGTAAACGAAATTCTTTATAGGTATGTATGTGCATAAATATAAAAACCAGAGGTTTAATGAAGATAAGTTTGCCTCTATTCATACCAGTTCAGTCAATTCATTAAAATTAGTCATAATCTGATAATTAATTGTAATGATTTGTTGCAGTTGTTTTTCAACAAAGTACACAAATAAATATTTTTTTAATTTAATTTCATTTTGTTTTTTTTTAAGGATGCCTATGCTGAACCTGGTCAAGATAGTCGTAATATAGCTGGTATGGAGATTGTTGTTATTGTACAAGATGTTCAAGATCAGCCGCCAGTATTTACATCGGCACCACCTGTAACTAAACTACCACCTGGTATACTTCCTGGTGACAAGGTAAGTTAATATTAAAATCATTCATTCACTTTGAATCTAGTTGTTACATATGTTTACAAACATATATACATATGTATATGAACATGAATTTGCCTATAATAACTATATAGTTACAACGTTTGTGAATTTTAATTTGTTTATTTATATGTATATATTTATGTATATTCCGCAGAATTTTCAATCTCAAATTCCCGGAAAATTGTGCGGGAATTCCTTGCAATTGTTTTCCTTAGTTTTATGTGATATTTTTGACAAAAAAAATTTTACAATAAATATGTTGATTTGAAATGTTAAATTCAGAGAATATATCGAGGGACTATATTCAATAGTCTCTATCTAAAATAATAGAAGTTTTCAGTAGAGCAAAAAAACTGCTTATTTAGCTAGTTCGTGAAGATTTTTTTTTTTAAATTTCTTCTATAAAATTATTCACAAATTAATATCAGATAAAGCTTTTTTTTCTATGAAAATTTTCATACAACCAACAGTTAGAGAGTTTTTCATAGAAATATAAAATTTTTATTTGATTTAATATCAATCAATATTATATTTTATGCAAGTTGGTAAAAAAGCACCAGATTATAATGTTTTGGTCCAATATCAACGTTATATGGTTAAACAAGACAGTAAAATTAAAGTAAGTAGTGACATAATGAGCGTTATCTCGAAAACTATTAAGCCGATTTTAAATATTTTTACTTATTAAGAAAACTAGTTTTGCAACAGAAAATTATCCAAAGGGATAGAGTTTAAAGCAATTTTTGGAATAGATAGAGTTTTGCATTCAGAATTTTTTCTTTTTTTAAGATAGAAAAAATTTCAAAATGCTATAAAATTGCCAAAAATATGTTTTTATCTTTGAAATTTATATCACGATGTGATGTGGAAATAAAAAGGTCCGGGAAAAGAAAAACACTAAACAATATTTGCCTTTCAAATGATTAAAATAAAACATTTTCAAACTTTGAAAGATTTTTACTGCTAAACATACGAAAAAAATGTCGATATTTTTGGGCATATCTACCGTACATACATAGATATTAGCTGTGTTATATTACTTGTCAGTTTTGTAGATCTATTTCCTCTGTGTCAGATTTTGAAGATTTTCGGATGATATAGAAAAAAATACCAAGCAGCAAAAAATACCAAAAAATAATAGCAAGAAAAATAAAATTAAAACTAATTTAAACTAAAATTAAAAAAATAACAAAATATTAGTTGGCTAGTGTGTACATGTCCATGGATATAACGAGAATTTCATAGAAATATGTTTAAGTGCAATTATTTTTCATTATCGCATTGCATGAATGAATGAAAGGAAGGATGGATGTACAAAAGCTGCCATAACCACAAATTCGTTTTCAAAAATTAAACAAGATTCAATACAAATATTTAGACTAAAGAAAATTAAAAAAAAAAAAAAAAACACAGTACAAAGGAATTATGGTGTTATACACTTAAGATAATAAATATAAGGAAACAAACGAATTTGTACGACACCCACTTGGCTGTAATCCCTTCGATTGATAATAACATTGGGAATGACTTAACGATAACATATTAAAAGCAAAAACTTGGCAATGAACTTCTTATAGTATTTATAAATTGGATAAAAAGTGTTTCTTTATAAATTTCGGATTATCCCAAAGCGGTTTATTTAAAAACTTTGATTTACCGATTTATCAGGTTTTTATAGCTCTGTGAACCAGTTTCCAAATATTTCATAAAAACTGTATAAGGTTTTTCATTTGATTTAAATGCGTTAGATATTTACTCATTACTAATAAAAGTTTGTGGACGTGAATCCATGAATCCATTTCATCCATATTTTTCATGTGGATGAATTTCCGAAACTAGCTACAATTACAACTAAGTACAATTCAATGCCCAGTGGAGAAGTTTTAATAAAACCAACAATTATTAGGTTAAGAACCTCAACAAATGATACACAAACTTTTGTTGAGGTTCTTAGTCCAAATAAACTTTTAGTTATTTTTAACGGTGTAATTTTACTCACATACAAACATACATAAATATATTTATTGCTATACTAAAGGCTATTAAATAAAAGTTCAAAAGATCTCATAAAAATGAAAATGGGAATAGGAATAGGACGACGTCGACGAGAAATAAGATAAGATTTGGTTTTAATGCCAATAACTATCGAAGATTTTTAGTCTGGGTTTAGTTTTATGTTCCTTTTAATTTTGTTGTTGCATTGTAAACTAAATTGCATGTTGTTAAGAGTGCACAGTGGGGTACGATGGAAATATTTTGCAAATAAGTCCATTATCTCATTGATATAAAATTTCAATGATTAAGTTGCGATTATGGACCCAAAATTATAATTTTATTGGGTTTGAAAAAAATATTTAAAACTAAACTAAAAATAGGCGATTTGCCTGTACTATATTTGTTCATGTCCATCAGAGAAGAAATGTAAAATAATCCGAATATCTATATATTTCCAAAAAAAAAATGATCTTGCTAAACTGTGCAGTGCCTGATTTTGATGATGCTATTATTGTAGTTGTAGCTACATTAGTTCTCCTCAAAGGCCACTTATGGTTAGATGAAGCAAAGTTAAGGCCAAAATAAGCAATTATGGATCTATTCATATACATGCACACACAAACATACATACATGCATCCATGTATGTTTAAGCTATATACTCTGTGTACTTGTACCTATAAGTATTTTAAGTGCTTCAAAGAAAATTGTTGGCCAAGTCCTCATTTTTTCGCTTAGTTGTATTATTTTTCTGCGATCATCAAAACCTTAAAATATTTTTCTTAAGTTCAATTGTTCTTTTATTCACTCGCTACATAGTTTGGCTTACTTTTTTCCAGTATTCTTACTCATAGATACAGCTGATGTACTTAAAAGTACATAGATACATATACCCAAACGCTCTAATACGAATCGAAGAGAATTTAAGATTTTTTAATAACTTGACGGTTTGGGTTTGTAAAGAGTATAACTTCAGTTCAATTGTTCGCAAACACAGATAATTTGCATGTGTTGTGTAGTGTTGAATCTATGTGCATTCCATGCAATAACAATTTCTCGATGGAAACATTATTGATGGCGTAAAAACAGTTCTTGTTGCTAAATTTATGCCCAGATAGATGTGCATAAAGTTCGAAACATAATTTACGATAGAACATTACGTTCGGAAACTAAGTAATAAGACTCGTTGCTCTGAATGTGAATAAAGAAATTTGTAATAAACATTTTAAAATTTAAAGAACATAAATCTCTAAATTAGAATTTATTTTAAAATTTCGTTGCAGATACTTCAAGTACATGCTGAAGACGGCGACAAGGGTAGTCCACGTGAAGTACGTTACGGTCTTGTTTCAGAGGGAAATCCATTTACATCATTTTTTGACATCAATGATACAAGTGGTAAGTTTAGAAAAATAAAAAACTTAAAAGTCACACACATAAACATTAAGAAATAAACTGTGAGATGCATACTAATGATTGTAACTCGTTCTCGGATTTATACGGTCTTTAACCTCGTTTAATTGTGAAGAATAATAAAAAAAGTTGTAATCAAAAATAAGAATAGAGTAAACGCTAACTTTTGCCTACATATGTACCAGTTCTAATATTATCCCCTTTGAAATAATGAAAAGTAAAAATACGGTGATGATCTAAATTCTTAACTTGTCCTAATTTAATTTGTTTTTAAATAATTGAGGGTTTGTTCTTTTTTTCAATTTAAATCTTTTAATTATTTTTTTTCTGAGTTTTGTTTTTGCTACCTGTTTAAACTAAAAATAGATTGAAATTTATTTCAATTTAACTAGTAATTTGTTGGTACTTAATTATGTTTCATACGTGGTCAAATTGATAATTCAATTTAAAATAAATAATACAACAACTGATATACATACATATAATAATATACATACACTAGCTATACCCAGTGTGCTTTGCTACCCTAAAAGGAATATCTACAATAGTTTTCCAGATTTATAATATGTTACATATGAGAGATGTGTTCCATTAGTTTTCCAGATAAACGAATTTTTGTCTTTAATTAATATGGGAGGTGCCGCTCCCATCAAGGGTAGTCCGCCAATTTATTACCCAAAATGGTGTTAAAGTTATTCGTGCAAAATTTGAAGATTCTAACTGTAATAGTTTCCAAGATAAACGTATTTTTGTATTTAATTTATATGGCCCCCTAATGCTAAAGTTGTTCCGACAAAACTTGAGGACTCTAGCTGTTATATTATCTAAAATATACGGATTTAATATTTTCTTAATATGGGCGTGGCTCCTCGTCCACTTGGAATATTACCTATTCCAGACATACAGGAATACGCTGTGAAAATTTGAATAAAATCGGTTCAGCCGTTTAGTAGTCTATAACGTTCAAATATACAAACAAACACACATTCATTTTTATATATATAGATATAATAAAGTCTTCCAGCAATTTGGCATTCAAATTAATAAATGTCTAAAATATAGACATATGTATCTGCTCTACGTCTTAGGCAGGTTAGTAGTTAGTGTTGTAGCCTGTCAGACCGAAGCTTGTGGGTTCGATACCCACAACAGACACTGGTACTACAGGACCGATGGAGGCCTGTTATTATTGGAAAGGACATTTTATTTTTAAAGGAAATATGTACATCCTATACATCCTTTCAAAATAACTAGCTAACTACTCTACTTTAACCATAAGCGGACAACATTTCATGACAAAATGTTTACGAATACGCCACAGCACTATAATAGGGCAATATTTTTTTTTTTGTAACCATAAAGCATACCAATAAGCTCAGATTCACTTTCTGAGTCGATTAAGTCATGTCCGTCCTATCGCCTTTTTATATAAATCTTGCAATCAAACAACAGATCGAATATTTAAAATTAAACTAAATAGGCATAAGGTCTGTTGGTTTTTAGTTAAAATCAGTAAATTTTTTATATATCCCTCATACAAGAAAATACTTTTATGTTTATAACTCAACAAAAATTTGTAAAAGTCGAAACCCATGACCAGCTTAACATATCTCGAAGAAATACATACATACATATGTACATAAGCATTAGACTTTTTCCAATTGAATGCACTGCGGACATACATACAGACTTTGTGGTAATAATTACATTAACTAATTCATTACATGGACAATTACAATTAATTGTTATGTGTAATTCAACAATAACTAATCACAATTATGTATTTGTAATTTAAAATGAATCAATAACAACTACAAGTAATTGTGATTGGCAAATCCTTAATCACAATTACATACTTCTAAACTAATTGTAATTGAGGAAGTAATTGACATCCCCAAGCCTACATACATGCGTTAAACTAACAAAGGCGACCCTCGTATAAATAGGAATATACATAAGTATATTATGTACGTTCAGTTCACTTCCTTTTCATTTGACATCTATTATCGCTTTATAAGAAAAGTGTCATTATTTAATCCTAAATACATACATTCTTTAAATTAATTTCAATGTCAGTCACTTATCAATTAATCCACGCATCCACTGGCACACACACGTCTTTACAAAACTTGAACTTCAAGTAGTTAAAGTTGAAATGAAAGAGAAAAAATGTAGAAGAGATTTAACAACTTGTTTTGCATCTTGATATGATTGACACTCAAATTGAGGCAATTACTCAACACTAGAAAATTAAGGAAGCTTAAAATGAAAACGGAAAAAAATTAAATACCTTTTCATATAAGAATACATGCAACAAAAAAATTCGTAATGTGTATCTTGATACTAGAGAATATGTGTGTAGACATAAATTATCCGGTTTAGGAAAAAATAAGGCTAAACTAAAAAAGAAAAAAAGAAGTTCAAAATTTACTTTAAACTTCAAAGATCTAAACAAAAAATAGGACAAAAACAAAGAAGGTTTGGAATTTCATACTACTTAATATGTTTCCCACGATCACAATATAAACATAGATACACAGATATAGTACATATACACACACAGATACTAGTACTTACCCATACACACAAACATTTTTATACATACATGTATACATTATCGCACCATCTGTTGTCATTCAACTGAAGAAAAAAAAGAAAAATAAGAATTTATATACAATATTAACAGTTTAGCACGAAATTATTTGTAGCTTTAAGCAAAAACTAAACTTATAGTTAAATAAACAAACATACAGATACACTCAGATACGATACTATATATGTATGTAAATATGTGCATATTTGGATATGTGTATCCAATTATAACACAGTTCTTTTTTGCTTTTGATCGAAGCAACAAGCCAACAACCTTGGCTGGAATTTTTCCCAAAAACAAAACACATCACACACCCCTGTATTAATTTATTTCTTCGGTCATTCCTTAGCTGTCTGTCTTCATTTTATAAATAATTTGCACCATTCTTATATACACCAATTATAATTCAAGTGATGAACGTTTTTTATTTATTTCTAACAAATATCATAACATTTTAAATAACAATTCGATAACGGTATCTCACAATAATATTTGTAATTTCCCAACTAAAGTTTAGTTATTTAATTTCAGCACTGTCAAATATTCCGAAAAATGCAACTAATTTTTATACATACACTAGCTTACCCAAAACCATATTCCCATATACATTTTTTTAGTTTTTATATATTCCCAGATATACGACTTTGAGTATTTAATTTATATGGAAGGAGCCACGCCCAGTATTTCTAGTCGACTTATTCTTAAACCAAATGTTCATATTGATGCTAATGCTGCTTGTACAACAGTTCAGGTCTCCTACTTGTTGTAGTTTCCATAGGTGTCAAGTTGTTCTTGCAAAATTTTATGATTATATCTCTAATAGTATCCCAGATATACGAAATTTTGTATTTTATTTTTAATGGGGGTGTCAAGCCCCCTAATGCTTATCCGCCAATTTATTACACTAATGTTCACATGGATGTCCAAGTTGTTCTTTTAAAATTTGAGGATTCTATCTCTAATAGATATGCAATCTTTTCCACTTAATTCATATGGGGGGAGGGGTTATCACTCCCCCTATTGCTAATCCGCCAATTTATTAAACTAACGTTCACATGGATGCAAAAGTTGTTCTTGCAAAATTTGAGGATTCTATCTCTAATAGTTTCTCAGATATACTAATTTTTGTACTTAATTCACATGGGGGTATCTCGCTCCCATATTGATAGTCCACCCATTTTTGTCTAAAATATTAATATTAATACTAAAGTGGCTCTCATAAAATTTGAGGACTCTATCTTATACATATTATCTCAAAAATACTAATTCAATATTTTCTGTATATAGGAAGTGCCACGCCCACAATACCTACTCCGCCCATTTTGCCCACAATTGTTCATATCTATGTCAAAATTGTCCACTACAAACTATAGCTGTAGTAGTTTCTGAAATAGAATACTTTTAATACTTACTTTGTTAGTGGGCGTGGCACTTGGTCTACTTGAAATATCAAAATAAAAAGTATCCTATAGTTCCTTCCAGGCATAGACAAAGACACTGTGAAAATTTCAAGAAAATCGGTCTAGCAGTTTTGCAGGCTATAGACTTTGAACAAATAAACAAACAAACCCACGAATAAACACACATTTATATATACATAGATTCACGGATGTTGAAGTTCTTAGCGCAAAATTTGAAGATTCTAGCTCTAATAGTTTCCAATATAAACGAATTTTTGTATTTAAATTATATGGGAGGTGCCACGACCCCTGCTGCAAATACGCCCTCTTTTTGTCCTAAATAATCATATTGAAAATAAGTGTCTCCGGCAATATTTGAGGACTCTAACTGTTATATAAGATATACTGATTTATTATTTTCCTAATATGGGGTATTGGAATGTGCCACACCCACTATAGCCATTCAGCCCATTTTGTCCACTAATATCCTTATGGATGTCAAAGTTGTCCATAAAAAATTTTAGTACTCTAGCTGTTGCAGTTTCTGAGATATGCGACTTTTAATACTTATTTTGTGTGTGGGCGTGTCTTATCGACTACTTGAAATTTCAAAGTAAAAAGTAGCCTATAACCTCTTCCTGACATACAGGAATACACTGTGAAAATTTCAAGAAAATCGGTGCAGCCGATTAGAAGTCTATAAACTTCAAATATAAAAACATACAAACACACATTAATTTTTATATATAGACTAGCTATACCCAGTGTGCTTTGCTACCCTAAAAGGAATATGTATAAATAAATACCAGATTTATTATATGTTACATATGAAAGATGTCAAGCAAATTATTGCAAGTTCGCCAGTTTCTATCTATCGCCAATTTCTATCTATCTATAAAAAATTTGAATAATATAAGAGTTTCCAAGATGCACGAAATTTTGTATTTAATTCATATATGTTGTGCCAAGCCATCCATTGAAAGTCCGCCCGT